TTAATTATTAAAAATTCATTTATAAGGATTATTAGAACTTATATTATTAGAGAAAGAATCTATTCTATTTTTGACTTCTTTATCTTCTTTATTTATTAGATTTATTATAAGAATCTTATATAAATATATATATAAATATAGAAAAATAGAATATAAGAATAAATATAATATAGAGTTTTTAGACTTTTCTATTAAATTATAGCTTTAAATAAAAGTTTAAAATCATTATAAAAAACAGATATTATAGAAGTTTCTAAAAAACAAAGTTGCATTCTTATAGCTAAGATAATTAGAGTTTTATTAATGATTTTAATTATTAAAAAAAATTACAAAAATAGATTTTTGCTAATATTCTCTTTACAAGATTAGTTGGAAAGCTTCTAAGACTATTAAAAGATAGAGCTTTTTAAGAGCTATTAAATAACGTAATTTATAAAATTATATTACTAATAATTAGCCTTTTATTAGTGATTTAAGTTATTAAGTAACATTAGATTTTAATATTCTTTATACCAAGGCTGCAGCAAAATTATGACACTAATTTAAGCTTAAATCACGGCAACGCTATCTCAATAAGAAAGAAGGCCTATTTAGTAACACAGGGGATAATATAATTAAAGACATAATAAGAAGACTTATCAAAATAGAAATAAATTATAAAGAAAGATTAAAGATTACATAATTTATAATAAAAAAAGTCTTAATAATATTATAATAATAGTTTATTAGAATATAAAAATTATCTATTTTATTAAGAATATATATTGATTAGTAAACTATCTCTTGTGACCCTGATTAACCTCTGTCATAGGCATCCTTCCTTATAGAGTTTAGCGTTAAGAGGTACTCGCGTTTAGCAATAAGGTTATTTCTGCAGCCTTGGCATTAGAAACATCAAAATTATAGGAGTCTGCTACAGCCTTAGTGTTAAGAACATTAAAAGTAAATTATATAAGTAAAATTTAAATTAGCTATATTAGACTAATTATAAGAGTTAGATATCTATAAACAGTATTATTTAAAAGCCCTAGTAAAGTTTTATCTAAATATGTAGTTTTCAAATTAATAAGATTATTATTAATTAAAGAGAATTAAAAAAGATTAAAAAGTATTAGTTTTCAGAAATATTTTTGATATTTACTTTATTAGTATAAAAGATATAACTTTATAAATGACATATAATATAAATCTATTTATAGACTCTTAGGAAAGTCTTGTTTAAGACTTATATCCTAAGTAATTTATAAGTTATTAA